CACCCTGTACCCCTTTTCTTTTACTCTCATTTCAAATATCCCTTGAACTACGTTTAAAAGTAAGCTACTGTTTTAAGTGTTTATATTTCTTTCCATAGAATTCAGTAACTATACCATCATGCCCTAAATTAATGAGATACATTCTCGGAAACGGATTTATATAAGTTATTTCAACTTGTTTCCGGATCCCATTCCTCTGTACTTTGTATGTTATGTGATGTAATGCAACTTAATTTGGAATGAAATAAAGTTTATATTAACTGCAAAGCAGGTATACGATGTCTGGCAATCATGCAGTTCATTTAATGATCACGTATTATTTTTTTATTGCAGATAATAATATCTTCAGTTTCAATCCCAGTTGTTATTGATAATTGCAGCCTCTTTGGATTTATTCACATCTTCTCTAAATATTTATGTGCTGCCATAATTACAAAAGTCGAGAAGATTTCATTTTGTCGTCTTAATGATCAGTACAGATCCCACACAATCTGCTACTGGAGAAGCTGCGAGCCTATAGGCTGGATGAGACTGTTTTCTTAATGACATTTTTACGTTTCTAAAATACTGCGTTTTGTACAATTATGCTGATGACAATACCATTGCATATATCAGCAACTGCATCATTTAATTTTTTGGTTGTTTTCATTGTTACAAAGTTTATCATTTTATATAATATTTTACAGTCTTTTTTATTAGTCATGTTTATTCCATGTTCAACAATTTTTACTATGTTTTCTTTAGACTTGGTCAGGGGCAGATCCAGAATTTTTTCGGAAGGTGTCACCATTCCAGTTTGTTTTGCTACGCATGTAATCTAAACCATATAGTGTTGCACAAAATTAAGTCAGATACCTGTCTTTGCTAACCACCTTGTACTTTCCTAACTTCTTTCTTTCTTTCTTGCATTTTTTTAAAGGAAAATGTAACTTGCGTAAAAATGATAAAGTAGCATGAATTGTGAACGCTCCAAAATCCTTGGATCAAATTTTAATTTACATTCATTTTTTTAATGTGTTACAGCTGTAACTGATATAGATGTCTCGCAATGGTTCCTGATTTGAAGGCATTAAAATGTGATATTAATTGTCCTTCTTGCAATCATATTTCATAAAACCTTCTTTAACTTTAACACGTGTGCCCTGTTACTACTACGGATCAGTGACCTTACAGGTACAAACGTCTCTATCATGGTTCGCTGACCAATTAAATTGATGCTGGGGAAGTGTCAACAGTTCAACACCGAGTTTATAGACATGTTAGAGGGAAGGGGACAGATATTGCACGGGCAGTGTAATATACAAACAGTTACAGATTAATTACTCATACGAATATTAAGATTCTGATGTTGTGTGACTGTAACTTCTCCAGACTTAAAACAGCTGACCAGGGTTTGGTTGTTCAAACGATAATTAAATTAAGCCATCATTACAGTATCAGATACATCAAATCGCTATTAATTGATTAGTTAATCTCCCATTAAAAATGTGTTGGTGGAAAGGTTACTTAATAAAGCATTAGGTAATGGATATTTAATGAATGTTTATTAATGATCAACAATTAAAGCATCATTAATTATGCAGGGTTTTTGCCAGCTATTTTGGGAAAGGGCCCCTGAGCAGGAATTGGGAAAATATCATCCACATTTGGCTAAAACTGGGAAATATCATCAATTTTTCCACATACAAATGTGTGATTAGTAAAAAGTTTTCCTTTAGCTGTCTCTTATAGTAAAATGTATAGCAATAAACAAACACATACATTTTCAGTGTTTTTGTTTATTCAGTTTCACAAGTTTTCATTATTTACGTATTTTTTTGTTGCTCCTTGTACATATAATGACTGGACATTTGTATTTTAACATGCTTTTTGATCCAATTGAGAAAATAAAGACTGAAATTGGGAAAATGCAGGGTCATTTTTTCAATTGGGAATGGGTCCCTGTACCGGACCCTATAAACACCTAGCAAAAACCCGGTTATTGGATTCCCTCATCCCACAAACATTCCTTGTAAACTATTGTGCCCCAGGTTTGCATGTACATAGGTATTCTTTTTTTATCACCATAGCTGTTAACTAAAACACAAATAAACCAAAACATATTTATCCAACATCAACTCATTCACCCCTGAAATTACATAATGAACTATTCCAACCTCTGAATTGGAAGGACTCAAATGTGTCTTCAGGGGTGAATGAGTTATAAGCCCATGTCTGGTAGTAAGCCCACCCATACCTGTTGCAGTTCAGTAGAAATGCCAATGAATGCTATTTCATTGTTCTATCATCACCACTCCCAGCTCCTAGTTTTGAGCCGGAGATCTATGCACTAACCCTTTGATCTTATTGAATAAATATACGGTGCCTTAAACAGAACAATGTATATATATAATGATATCAAAAGGTAAAATTATCTCAAGATTCATTCAATGGACAATAAATATACATCTTCAATAGATTGAAAATCCTTCATAAATACAAAAATTATAAAATCCAGATAAATATTTTTTACTATTTACAAACACAGTCAAACTTTGATGTTTCAAACTTTTTTGGAACCATCAGGAAAAATTCCAAACATTTGGACTTTGACGACATGTATAAAGTCAAATATCATTGAGGTCCTGTCACTGTACATAAGACCGTATGTGATTCCTAAATGACAAAATAATTATGAGCAAAGGAATTTGATTCAAAATCTATAAAACTTGGATTTGCAGTAATAAGAAGAGCATGTTTATCTTTATACTGTAGTTTGTACAGTGATCTTATCAAATTCAACATTTCTTTGTTTATCAATTAAATTTACAAAGCCAGTGCCTGTGTTAATGTATAGATAATTTCATTCCAATTCGATTTATTAGTTGTAATTTTCAATGTTTCCATAATAACAAACCTGGATTATACTTTGAAACCACAAAATAATTGACTCAAAATGTTTGATTCGTGAATAAATCAACTAATGATTATTAGAAGTGTCATTTAAAGGCGAACATTAACACATAGAGAAATTTGAATCTTCAAAGTTTGTAACGAGGTCAAATTTATCATGACAGTGAAAATTAGTACACCTACATTCTATGTACATAGGCAGTTATAAGATGTCAAGGGCAAAAATAACACTTTGTAAAAATGGATTTTACCAGAGAAGGGCAAAAAATCCTCCAAAACATATCTGTTCTTTGATATTTATATACCTATTCATATGTACTTTATGGACTAATGGAAACAAATTTATAAAACTTTGACACAAATTCATCTTGACTTCTTGAAGTGTCCAGTTTCTTAAAGTTTTTCTTGTTGAATCAATAATGCATTCTGCAAGAACTTATTTCCACATAAATTTACGATTATCGTCAATTGTGACAAAGAATACTTTGTCAATATCAGTTCATATATATTCAAAAACTGGATACTTGTCAGTACCCCTGTTCATTACACAAATTAAAATCTGGTGAATAACTCCAAAGAGAATAAATAATCTCTTAAACTAAACTAATTAAATCATTCAAAACTTTTACGATGAGTTTCTTTGATTTTCTCTTCAACATTTATGTAATAGGTTAATTTAATCACGTGTTCTTTGGCAAGAACCATATTTCCGTCTTGAAAGGCTTTTGAAATTTCCAAAAAGCAATCTTTCACACGTTGGTCGTTTTCTGTCTGCATTCCCTGCAAGGCCTCTGGAGAATCAACTTCTGCCAGTTCTTCATTTATTTCCATGACCTCCATTAGAAAGTCTGGGTCCACATCACTGTTCGCTTCTTCTACTGGAAGGTTGTTGAGCTCCAGGAGATAAAGAGCTCTAGGAAGAGGTTTTGTTAAAGTTGCATATGCCTTGTTGACAAGAGATGATTGTATGGCTGCAAGGTCTCTTTCTTTCTGAAATAGATTTGAAAACTATGTTGTAGGACGAGGAATAGTGATATTAAAAGAAAGTGCTGTTGCTGGGGCTCGAACCCGCGCCCCTTGGCTTTCCAGCCTGATGCTCTACCGCTGAGCTAAAGGGAAATTCCCTACAGCTGACGCTTATAAGACAACCTAATCAATGCACAACTTTTACACCTAAATTTGTTTTTGTTTATGCAAAATTAGAGACACAGAAAGATTGATATAATATTGTGAAATGATATGAACCAATTATATGGACTCGCATAAAGTCAAGATTTACTGCAGAATCTTTTATAAATTTTAAAAAGAAGACAGTCCATTATTTTGTATTAGCAGCTCTGAAACTGCATGATAACTGCAGTACAGTATTATAGACTGTTTAACAAAGTAAATTAGTTCCAGATCTCCAATAAATGTCGAATTCCTCACCTCCGTCTTCTGACTGTATTTGTCTGGATGCAACATCTTCTGCAGCTCTTTGTATTTGAACGCCAACACATTCAGATCCACATCAAACATCTCCTTAATATCCAAAACTTGGAAATATGTTAAATCAGACACCTCCTGTACTACACCACATACACAAATAAACAACTCCGATCTTCCATGTTTTGTTTTACCACATTTCCAACAAGTTCTCTCTGTCAGCGTGGACATAACTCTGATCCCACCACATCGCGACAAAGTGAAAGTAGGCTTGTCTTGTGTTCCACGTCGAACTATCGGCGGTACAGCTACAGATGAGACTCCAAGTGGGTTTGACTTAACAAAAGTAATTCCGCAAAATCTTCTTGCAAGCACACATTCATTTAGTAAACCTGAATGTGAAGCACAAATTTGTTTCTCGCTTAAACGTGTTTTTCCAATAGTTTTCAATGTCTCTATGATGTACCGGGGTCGCATGACTCGGAAGGGCGCAGACATCTTGATTCCCGCGAGATTTTACCACGTGATGTCTCTTTCAGCCTTGTGTAAGAATTGTAAGTCTCGCGATAATTCATTAAATTTTCGTGCATCTGTCGACCAGCAGTAAGTATGTCTCGATTTCTCAGACTGAATACCAGACTTCAAGCGACACACCGTGTGGTAGATATGGCTTACAAACGGTTAAAAATATCGTATGCTAGTCGTTTCGGGACATAGCACAAGATGTTTCGGGACATATACAGTTTTCACTTATAAATTACATTTCGCTCCCGTTTCATATCGATTCCTGCAAATACATAAGTATGGTTTTAGTCTATGACCTGTGTTGATAAATCCTTTCGTGATTCCTGGTCATATTATATATCTGATGTTATAAATGCAGTCACGAGAACAATGGATTGATTAAACACTAACAACATTTTTTCATACTGGTAATAATTACGTCTATCCGTGATGCGAGGGCATGTGTAAATCAACACATTTACATTAATTAATTCACTTAAATATATTAAGATTATTTATTAGAAGTCCTATTCATAACAAAGAAAATAAATAATAGGTGAAATTTTATATGAATTTTTGTTTGCTTACCTCATATCAGTTATGAAGTTTATTTCTGGTTCAGGACCACTAAAGTCCTCTTTCAAATAAGTAAATAAAATACATTAGTCAACTACATCAAACCGGTATGCATGAACATTGATATCTATAACTTGATCGTTGCTTTGGAATTGTATACACGTCTCTGTGAAGAAGAATGTCGGTACCTGTTTGGCACATATAATTAGGTAATGGTCTTCAGAAGAAGAAAGAAATGAAAAATCCTGAAACGACTTTTGACATGTCCCGAAACGACCCAAAAAAAGTCCCGAAACAGTTTTCGTCTTGTTACCGAAACGACCTGACACCATACCGGGGTTCGAACCTGGTACTTTCCGAACTCTAGACGGATGCTCTACCAATTGAGCTATCTGGTCGCCGACTATCGACCCAGTCCAGTTCCGCTAATAGCTCAGCCAGCTATACTATTAAAACAATTGGGCTCCTGAACTTATATATTTCTAGGTATTGCACCCCACTGGTGACTAGACAAAGGAGTAAAATTCTCAGGTTTGGGCAAAGGAAAAGGGAAAGTAGCAATATAAAGAATGTGGGGTGAAAAACCCAGCAATGAGTAATTCTCTACCATGTATGTATTATTTTACTCATAAGAAAGTTAATCCCTGACAAGTTAAATTACTCCCTGATGTTTCATTTTACTCCTATTTTTTTTATTTAACTCTTATTTTTTTTAACAACTTGATAAAGGATGGAGCATCAACACCAAGGATTCCGTAGGTTTAGAATTTATTAGTTTACATGTTTCGGTTGGCTAGGCCAACCGTCATCAGAACAATTTTGCATCGAGAAAAATAAAGCTAAGGTGTAAATTACGGTTCAAGAAATTGATTGTTCTCGTCACGTGATATACAATATTGTGGTAATTTACCCGCTAAATTATGGTAATAGTAGTTGAACGTGTTTACTGATAGATTAATAAAGTTAACCGCTTTCTCATAGAATGTTTGTAGTAATTGCAGAGTCAATTATAGATGCCATATACACTATATACAGATACAGTTCTATCTCTTAAATAATATGGTAGTTCATCTAGACAAAAGGTAGAGTCCAGAACAGAGGTGGAACCCTCGTGTACATAATTATAGTCTTCAAAACTCGACGACATAGGTTCATTACTGTTGGTGTCCGACTCTGAGTCCGTGTCACTCAGAGCCAGGTCTTCTTCTAAAGTGGTGGTAGAACTCCTGGTATAATCAGTAGTATCTTGTACAATACGGAAGGTAGGTTTGCTCAGTTTGTTGATGGTACGGGCCTCTGGTGGTGGGGTCCATGCTTTTGGTTTCTTAGCTTCAGATTGCGGATTGTAAAGGGCAGAAGATACGGTCTCTTTAGGGTCCGAGTCTGGATGTATTTTACGTACATGGTTTTTCGCAACGTCTAGGCGGCAGTATGATTTGAAGCAAATATTGCAGTGATGTCTAACCGGGTTGGCAGTGTGTTTTTTTTTTTTATTTTACCCATAAGGTAGCAGTATACAGTAGAAATGGCCCGACTCTGATAAACAAGGCACATGTCAAGGAAATGTAAACACAGCGCATTTACCCTATACATGTATATATATTTGTAAACTGCATTTTATTTATAATACATATAAAGTACTGAGAAGTGTATAAACCTCTTTTTTCTATGTATATCACTTGTGTGAAAACCATGGTTACCACATCAAAAAATGCCAAAAATTGCTATTTTTGAACCAAAATTTGACCCTCGCAACTAGTAATTTTTTTCCTGAGTTCTGTCTGAAATTAAAGATTACCTACCTGGTTGCAGAATTATCTGGGTCCCAGTAAAGTTGTTAAACTTGATTTTTTGCAATTTTGCGTCGTGTGTTGTCAAAATTTTACCTCCTGTAAAGCTAGCTTTTCATCTGTAGGCACCCTTTTGAATTATGGCAAAATTTTTATTCTCGCTTTTTTACAAATGTGAAGCTCACACAGCCCACTTCATCATGCTTATACCAATTTTAGTACAGTTTTATTTTTATATTTTTTTTACATATCATTATACAGGGGTTAGCCATTCAACAAAAATATCACCCATGGCCACAACCCTCTACTGTATACTGCTACCTAAGGGCACAGCCTCATTCATACACATCATCAGTCATGCTTGGGTGACTACATGTAACTGTTGTACACAGCAGGGCCAGCTCGCAGTTTACTGTCATTTGGTCATATGGCCATCAGTGGTCACACTTGAGTGATTATCTCAACTCCAATATCATTATTAATAATTATCATAATTATATACAGTACAAATTTATTTACACAAGATACCCTTCGAAATGACGCCCCCCCCTCCTCCAGCATTATATACAACAAGCAATACTCATAATAGACATACTCTGACGAATTAGACAACTCGCCTATGCTAGACGACGAATAATTTAGAATAAAGGCTATAGCTATAAAGCCAGTATCTGTCGACTCTCGGCCATGGCCAGTTCCCAGGCTAAACTTGAACCCAGGAGTCAACAGAGGCCGCTGAAAAAACCGAAACATAGATTTAGTGACCCAAGCCGAATGGAAGCTCTGGCCAGTTCCCAATCCAAAATTTCGCCAGAACTAACCACACACCTGCACATTCCCTTACATACTGGACCTAGCCCTGCCTTCTGACCCTGGACCCACCTAGTTTGACCCTAGTCCAACCTGTTTGGCCAGTCCAAACCATGAACCTTACCAAAATCGTGGGACACCTACCACCGGTGCCAAAAATAGCACAGGGGAATTCCCAATTGACAACCTACCACTAGGCGGCGCTATTACATACAAACGCTACGATGTGGCTGTCTCACAAGACAGAACTGAGAGTATACCTAGCAGGAATAAAAGTGTTCCTGCTACACTATGCATTGAAAACTGTTTTTACCGACATGAATATAGCTTTGATAAATAATTCCTGAAAGGAACCATACTTTATTGGACTTTTATGAAAATTTTATATGAGTACTTTTTTTTTATATGAAAATTGTTATCAAAGGGGCTAGACTGGGACTGGAACCCTGGAATTGATATTGTTATGCTGTATTTCTCTAAGCGACTGAGCCACTTACCAGGTAGTCAATGGATCGGGAAGTGTCTTCATTGGCCCAAACAGTTATCCAGAAACAAATAAAGAGAGGTTACTGTATATCGTATGAAAAACCAGTGCCGTGGGATAGTGATCCTTAATAATATTTTAACAATATTTTTATTGTATTTCAGAAATGAGTAGAAAACAGACACCGAGTGAATTTTTGAAGCAAATTATTGGGCGCCCTGTAGTAGTGAAGCTGAACTCAGGTGTGGATTACAGAGGTAAGGTATATTTACCTTATGTTGTGTCTTCCTTATTGTGGCATTTGTAAGCATTTCTTATGAAAAAGACATCCATTTTGGTATTTTCCTCTGCCCGTCTTATGTTTTATTAATTCATTGCAAAAGATAAGCAAAATTTCTAAATTTTAGAACTTCAATAAAAATTAATATGTTGTCGTTGTTGAAAGTTGCAACAAGTTAAATTTTAAAAAAAAAACTGATGTTAGTATGTTGTGTACTGTTGGATTCCTGGTTCCTTGGACCACAGACCTGCTAATTTTACCGGGGAAAACAAATTGTATTGAATTAGGGCAGACTTTATCTGCTTGAGAAATGGAATCATTAGACAATTGGAATAAAAATTGCTCTAATCACTTGATTCGCTTGTATCTGAAGGTGTGCTAGCCTGTTTGGATGGGTACATGAACATTGCTTTGGAGCAGACAGAGGAATATGTAAATGGCCAACTAAAAAACAAATATGGCGATGCTTTCATCAGAGGGAACAATGGTAGGTATATAAATTCTATGAACGGCATATATTTCACAAACATTCCTTGACATAACACTTTCCATAGGAAAGCTATAATGACAGTTAGGGAAGCTAATGGGTGTGTATATATGAAACCAAGCCTGGCAGAGCTTGAATGATGCAATTTTGAAAAGGTGAATTGCAAAATTGAAGTTTTACTTTTCTCCAGTACTTAAGTTATTTTATTGAATGTAATATCTGAATGCTAGACTACTGAAGTAGAAGTTTAGACTAAGCGAGGTATTTTTCAAAGGCTTGGCTTCACCACACATCTAATATTGAAAATGATTTAAAACATGTCAACAACTGTAGATGAATCTGGATTTAACTGTGCCACTCATAATATGTTGATCCAGATGTGGCCTACCTCCCTGATACAATTAATAATGAAACAGCCCTCAAAACAGACTAGGAATGCACCAGACAAAATGCTTAACCAATAACAAATTTGAGTCAGTAGTGTCGATCGCGTCGGTATCAAGAAAATAACTTTTGCTGCGATTGTAAAGTATATTGATTGTTTCCAAAGAAGTTGAAATAACATCGACTTGTCCTGATTTATTTGATTGTGCATCAGAAATAGTCTGACACACATTTGTTTGCTAGGTGGTTTAAATAATATCTTATTATTTCCAAAATGACAAATTACTTTAAAATGGACACAGCAAAAATTACCCAAAAACAATAAAATTGACGAAATGTTAATCTATATGAAACATGAAAAATAATTATATAGATGTTCTTATTTATTGGTTCAATGCATATAGGGAAATCACTTTTAGCAATGAAATTCTTCTCTTTCTTTTCAGTATTATACATCAGTACGCAGAAGAGGAGGGTATGAATATCCGAGGGAGAGCTAGTTGTGAGAAAGTGAGAGTGGATTTGCTGGAATATGAGTTGATATATTGTGTAAAATAATATGGAAGCTGTATGCTGAATTTGCAGGCTAGAGGAAATCACAGGAAGGAAGACAGCTGTGATTTTTTATATTTCAAAAAAAGTGCTCGGAACCATTACAAAAAAAATGCAAAAGGGAGCGAGGGAGACAACTGCGATTTTGAGAAAACGTATCTAAAAATTGCCATCATTACATGGCAGAATGCATAGAGGCAGATAACAAGGAAAAGGACACTTTTCTTGATAGGAATTTGGACTTGGAAAAAAACACGAACTGTTGTGAATTTGATAATGGACGATGTGTCTTAGGCTAAATGCTTAAGTAACATTAGCTCATCCGATGTCAGGAAATTGATTCTATTGTCAACATGGATTCAGTCTATGTATGCATCGAGACCTATGGTTGCATTCAGCTTTAGGGCTGACGAGGAATGTTACAAAAATGTATGGAAAATATGTCAATAAGATGTATATGTTAAACGTGTCCCAATCTTTCAGATCCAACCAGTGCCTGTATGTCAAGCTAAGACTTGACACGAGTCATAGCTTGACAAAGGGACCAGTCAGTCTATAAACTTTGTGACACGTTGAACACATACATTGTTTGTGTATAAGTAAAACTTTGATACATGTAATTGTATGAAAATAATCTTAACCTTTTTTCTCTTTTTTTTCTATGTTTAGGATATGCTTGGTCTTTTCCAAGAGGTAAACTTTCTTTACAATTTTGATATTTTCAAATCTGAAACATCACTATTCATCACACACATCATCATGACAGGTTATTTTCTTCATTGTCATGTTTCATTTCACAGTTCAAACATGTGAAATATTTTTTATAATTTTAACAATTTAATAAAACAATTGTTTGTGGTCATTATTTTGGCTTTTGTTTTTTTCTTCATATTATAACTGTTTCATTTTCTGATACAGGACTGTGTTGGCTTATCAAATGCTCAAGTAACTTTCCTTAGTTGTTGGAAGTATTGCTAGTTAGAAACCCACATCAGAGCGACAAACTCGAATATATATACACAATTTCTATCTCCCCAATTCTATATTAATTGTTTCGGTTTCATCCACTTGATCTGACAGTGTATTACTTTTCTGTTGCAGAAAATGAATGATTATCAATGAACATATTTGTTGGCATGTTGGTTCTCCAAAAGAAATTCTTATCCTCACGTTAACTATTGTATTGCAGGTGTTTGTTTTTAGAATGACCTGGATATTTCTACACTTAGCCATACATACTTGCTTCATTTGATCGAGAAACTTGTATTCACCCGAAGATTGGAGCGTATACAAGATAAAATGACTTCTGGATAAGCAAGAGACTTTTGATGATGGTACAGTTTATTGTATTTGGCCTTTACCTACTTTTAAAGTCATAGGGTAAAACCTTTGAAATACTTTTTTTGTATAACCAAGAAACCCAGGGTGATGATATTTAATACCCTTTTTCTGAATAATTGCCCATAGCATTTGAAGATAGTGTCTATCAAAGTTTGAGTAAATTAATTTGATTTTCACATTCTTTGAAGGTCACTGCAATTAATTGATAGATCAATCATTGTAACCAAGTGGAGATTTCAAGGTCGGCACTATAAGGTCAAGTTCATAAGTTGGACTAAACAAATAGTACACAATAACAAGAGGCCCAGAGGGCCTGTATCGCTCACCTGGAAATGTTAGCAAAATTGAAGTTCAAAATAGGCAGATGTTGCCCTACATGTATTGCATGGTTAGTCGGGGGTTATATTTATGTGCAATTTGGACAAAATCCTATCATTCCTACAGGAAAAGGAGGAATTTGAAGAATTTGCTATTTTTCCACTATTGGGCCTGGCCCATCTGCCCCCAGGGGGTCAGACCCACCGTTGATACAAAATTAGTTCCCCTTCACCAAGGATGCTTTAGACAAAATATGGACATATTCCTGTCATTCCTATAGAAGTAGAAGGATTTTAAAGCTAGTTTCCCTATTTGACCCCACGTCTCTGCCCCAGTTTATACAAAATTTGTCCCCCTTAACCTAAGGGTGCTACGTCCCAAATTTGGATAAAATCCTGTCATTTCTACAAATGAAGAAGGATTTTGAAGAATTTGCTATGTTTCTCCTATTGGGCTCTGTCCCCAGGGGGGTCAGACCCAATGTTTATACAAAATTGAGTCCCTTTCACTTAAGGATGCTTTAGACCAACATGGACAAAATCCTGTCATTCTTACAGAAAAAGAATTTAAAGAATTTGCTAAATTACCCCTATTGGGCCCAAGGGGGGTCAGACCAACCATTTATACAAAATTGAGTCCCTTTTGCCCCAGGATGCTCCAGACTACATTGGGATGAAATCCTTTAATCCCTATGGTAGAAGAAGGATTTTTAAGGTTTTACCTCTATTTTCCCTATTCAGCTCTGCCCCCAGGGGTGCCACACCCCCTGTTTATACAAAATTGAGTCCTCTTGGCCCAAGGATGCTTCAGACTAAATTGGGACAAAATCCCTTATTCCCTACAGTAGAAGAATTTTAAAATTTTTACCTCTATTTCCCCTATTTGACCCGCCCCTCTGCCCCCAGGGAGGCCACACCCACCCTTTATACAACAAGGAGTCCCCTTGGCCTAAGGATGCTCCAGACAAAATTTAGTCAAAATCTACTTGGCCGTTCAGGACTAATAGCATTTTAAAGGAAAAGTTGACAGACGGAAGACGTGGTATGACATAAGCTCACCATGGTCCTTTGGACCAGGTGAGCTAAAAACAACATTGCTGCAAAGATTGCATCAAATACAGAAACGGTAATTTTGTTTTTTAATTTTATACATGTATGACCTTGACATCTGACCTTTTGGTTTATAGTGACTAACCCATACAATGAGATGACAAATATAGAAACGTTAATGATGTACAGACCATTGACTAAAATCACAGTAAATGTGATACAAGATTTGATGTAATTTTCTATCATTAAAATATGACCTTTAACTATAGGTATCTATTGGTTCTGGTTATAAATAGAAAGAAAAGTATATTTGCTACTTTTATTCTGTGACTTTGATCTTTAAAAGCATTGTGCTGATAGGAGTTCAATATTTGGAGTTACCTCCTGTTATGCGTGATGTCAGGGACTTTATTTGAAAGTGTTGCGACGATCTGGTTTGTTGGCACAAATGTCTTGTTTCAGGCAGACAACCTGATTAGACATTGAAAAAAAATGTCCTATACAAAAAATCTACTAGACATAATTTTGTGGATTTTGTTTTAAATACAACACAAAAAGGTTTGGCTACCAAGGATTTTATTCAAGAGGAGATCTAACAAACATGTTTAACTTGTAAAAATATTGCAAATGAACTTTACAAGAACGGATACACATACGGTAAAATCATATGCAATACCAACACAATAAAATAACTTTCCCATATATAAGGACATAACCAGACTTTGTGGCTACATCTACATCAACATATATAACTCCTCCTTTTCTTCTCACTCTGGCAGAGTTGGAGACGCTGATGGAGGACATCAAGATATGGCAACATTTTCTGTATTTCACACTGAATCCTACTTTTGAACCTATACTGTTTTGTGATTTTCAAAATCAAATTAATTGGTAAAATAAGTCTGAATCCTTTATATTCACAAAAATACATTATCCTTTTTTAGTGATCAGACAGATGTTACATTTCAATGTGTTTCATTAAGTTCCTTTATAACTGAAATTACTGCATAACATTACAATGTAGTTTAGTAAAATGTTTTACAGATACATGAACAGTAATTGTGTATATATATTATGCATTTTGAACACATCTTTAAACTGTGACGCGATATATATTTGTGATATATATATTTATAAGTTATATTGGACATAAAGAACTTCAAATAACTTCTTGCTCTTCTCACATTAGAGTTAATCGTTTTGGTTGCACAAGTTAAAGAGTTGTTAAGAACATATTCAAAACAAGCTAGTCTGGGACACGAAACTATCAATCAAAAGAAAATTGAAAAATGAAAATATTTCCAACAGACATCAAGTATTTTTTTTTTTTCTAATTTAAGAAAAAAACAAAAGCACTTATTACTTGGTGTTGTGAATTCAAAGTTAAGCAAATCATATCCAACAGTTGGGAAATTTAAACGATTAGTACATTTTGCTCCGTTTCACCCTTTACCAAAATATATATGAAATTTGTGTAGAATTGATAAATTCTTTTATTATCAATATGGATTGATAAATTCCGTGTGATACAGTAGAACCTGTATTAAGAGGCTAAAGAATGGTCTCTTAACACAGTTGGTCTCTTACTTAGTTCAGTTAATGATGAAATCACTGCAATGAGGAGCATTAAAAGTGGTCAAAGCATGTTGTGCTTCTTATATTCTCGTTAACTGAAGAAGATCAAATAGAGTATCACATGAACAATTACCTGTAGAAGTTCTTTTCATAACATACATGTAGTAAAACACATAATGTGATTGAACACAAATTAATATCCTTGAGAATAAGTAAAGGAAGGCCAAATGACAAAATGAAAGAAATCTACAGAAATGTATAAGGTTAATATTAGATTAAGTTTATAAAACTGAGTTCCCATTATTTATAAATACATCTACTACATGTATAAACACCAACCCGTCACACTGCTGTAGAAACTATAACGAAGAAATTTACATAATTTTGAACTATAAGTTAAAGTCTTAAATATAAATGTTTCAGATCTATAACATTAAACTTAAAGAAACATACATGCACTTTGACAGCAAGTAAACATAATAGATCTACACAAATATATCTTACCAAATAGAAACTACATATTTTCCAACCTTTGCTATTTCTCATGAGAAAGCCTGACAAAAACTGAAAACTCTGAAAATATTAACAGTAACCCCCATTTCCAAAAATAGTAACATCAAATACCATAGATTAAGATTTCCAGGCAATAAATTATTTGAATTTGGAGCGAAATAAAAATGCAGGAAATTGTCCAAATCATGAGAGGACTAATTATATATTAAGCAATCATGATACTATTAACTTAATCTATAAATACTAGAAGTTGGAAACTCCATGCTCCGTCCGTTTTTGGTTTTAAACCATTCTACGATCATTACAATAAACTAGATACACTTAATAGTAATTAGAAACCAAATGAAGAACACACAACACTTTTGATGAAATAAATCAAAAACGTTTCATTCACAGTACATAATAAACAAGAAAGGTCATTCTTAGATCTTGGTCTCCTAGGATCAAAGGACTACCTGTACTGATAAAGGTATGCGTGTTCTAAACTAGGACAGAATTTACCCGTTTTCTTCTATTTCTTATAATAATGTAACCTATTGCTCACTCATTTAGCAAACATTTTACAGTCATTCTCTCCAATAAGAAAATATTTCTGATCTGAGAACATCTTTTTTTTTAAATCAGAAATGTTATAAAAGATAGATGTCATAAGGACTTTTAATATCAGGACGAGTTATAATGAACTTAAATGTCTGAAAAGATATTATTCTTGATAACGACGAGACAATATCATAATATGTTTAAATCTTAAGCACAATTCATAAATAATGTCTGGTTATCTTTTATTGTCTATCCCGAGGCTTGAACTTTCTCACAGATAGCTTCTGTCAGTTGCGAGCAGGTTGCCGATCCCCCCAGATCGCCAGTTAGAGCCTGGAACAAAGAAGTGGTCATCACTGACTTGGTACCATACATGAAATCACACTACGATCTTATTCAGCTCAACTTTTCATTCAGTAAAAGTTTACACTTAGACAACCATAGGTTTAACTGTATTCAACTACTACAAATTTGAGAAAATGTTAAATATTACTGTAATTTCCCAGCGTTCTGACAGTTAAACTCTTAAACCATTCAAATTCAATGAAAGAGTTAGAATTCTTTTATTAACAATTTGCATTTTTGAGTAATGTGGCATATATCTTTAGCTCATTCACCCTGAAGACACATTTGAACTCCTCCAATCCAAAGGTTGGAATAGTTCATTATTAAATTTCAGGGGTGAATGAGTTGAATACTATAAAATGCTTTGACCAGGAGTACTGACCTTGCCCTCCCGAATCACATCAAAGGCAGCAGTTTCTATCCTGTCCCCGTATGATGTTAGACCCATGTACCGCAGCATCATGACAGAACTGAGAAGCAGGGCAGTTGGGTTGGCTTTGTTCTGGCCGGCAATGTCAGGGGCTGTACCGTGGACCTGGTGGTTATATATATACCCATGTTATATATAGAGGGAGATATATATCTAAATCCAAATCAACCAAATTAAAATATGGCATAACATAATGTTCAAAACGCTCCCCTTTTCAGTACCTCCACCTGACTTTGAAAATAGGACTATATATAGATTCATTTCTTCAATTGAACTAGCTTGAAGGACAACTCAAGTACAGAAAAAAGTAACTAATATGTTATATATTGTGGGGGATATAAAAGTAAATCCAAATCAACATTTAACTAAAATATGGCCTTAAATAATGTACAAAATGCTCCCCTTTTCAGTGCCTCCACTAGACTTTGAAAATAGGACTATCTAGGGTATTTTATCTGAAAAAAACACATTTTCCCCTTGGAAAATACATCATGTGTGTTTCCGATGGGGGGAAACAATAGCCATGTAGCATGACGTCACAATTGAAAATGACACTGAAAAGCATTGTTACATGACGTCATAAATCAAAGACTGACCAATGAAATCACGTCCAGGGTGTTACCCACTAGTGGGTAACCAGCAATGTTTACCAACTCCTAGCAGGTTTATCCAATGAGTCGGGGAGTGAGGAAACCTACAGCGGTTGTGGGAGTAACTAGCTTTAAGGACAACTCAAGTACAGACAAAAGTAACTTAATGTATAGCAATGATAATGATTTGCTGATATCTATATTCCTATTACTTTCTTCTCTTTTCAAACCCTCATTAAACTATACTTTCCATAAATTATCTGAAGTTTTCAGAATTTGATAATGATGTAAAATTCTTTACAGCACTAGATAATGATTTAAAATTCTTTACAGCATTAGATAATGATGTAAAGTTCTTAACAGCATTAGATAATGATGTAAAATTCTTTACAGCATTAGATAATAATGTAAAATTCTTTACAGCATTAGATAATGATTTTATGAACAGGGGCCCTAGATTCACAAAGTTTAATTTACACTACATACACCCGGTAACAGATATAATAATCAGTATCCTAACTTGAAATCAATGTCAACCTGCCATTGTTTTCACTTACAGACTCGAAGATGGCACCGCTTTCTCCAATGTTACCACTTGGAGTCACCCCTAGTCCTCCGATCAGGCCGGCACAGAGATCACTGTCAGGAATAAGGAAAATTGTTACTAGATCAGGGCTAAATAATAAGTTTGAAAACTACTAGTCCGTTAGGGTAGTAGTTCCGATTTTGTATACTCCATGTGCAAATTCAACTAACCCAATGTTATTCAACAAGATAAGCAAAATAAAATGTTGACTAGTCAATCAGGCTAGCAGTTTGAAGTACCACTAGTCTAGCTGGATATTACACTAGATTTAGACGATCTGGAAACCCTTATTGTCTAGATAGCTAGCCCTGCTAGATGTATCAACAATATCACGGTGTGCAGATTTCAAGTTTCAGTTAAAACAATTGCAGAATATATAACACTAGGCTAGTCAATATTTAACCCCTAAAGCAGCTTCTAATTGTAAGCTTTATACAGATCAAAGAAACACAGTATGTGACAATCAATACACATCTTAAAATATTTTTTATTATAATATATGCTTTACAAAGAAAATTATATGCTTACATTAATATTTTCCAATAAACATTTTTTATTTTTTTTTACATTTTTAGCTTGATTAAAACTGCATGAAAACGAATTAATTATTACAAATATCACCGTTTACCTGAGAATATCCCCATACAAGTTTGGCATTACAAGTACATCAAATTGAGTGGGATCTTGGACCATCTGAAACAAAGTGATAATATAAAACTGAATTATAATAATAAAGACAATTATTAATAAAATGAGCCCTCTTTATGACCCCATTTTAACATCCATAAACAAGAATTCCACGGAAGTGGATCTGTCGCCTGCGCAGGAAGCTGGGAGATTACGAAGAAATAGATACACTTTTCATTTCAAGAAATAATGTTAAAAGTAAGCAATAATCAAAGATTATGTTTTTGGATGGCATCATTTTGTTATATAACTGTTCTGGGAAGAATGCTCCGAGTTTTAAGGAACTTGCTATGGATACTCATTGTCTCAATTCCAAGTTTAATTTGTATGATTTGTCGGATGGTTTCCCATAAACAAATGAATAAACTTGTGGATTATGATGTTAAACAACCTAGTGTTGTCAATAACATTTGGAGTAAGACGGCATTTCAGAGGTATACACGGTGGGTCAAGTGGTAGATCGAAGCCGTCCAGTATACAGTTTAAGTGAAGTTTCTATTTATAGTAACAGTGACTTTGACCTTTGACCTTCGGACCTGAAAAGCAATCCCAAGCAAGCACTTTTGGTAAGGAAGCACTGCATGAAGTTTGAGTTTGATCGGCCTAAGGAAACTCAAGTTATCGCACAAAAACCTCTGTTCAGACGACGCCACCGCCGACGCCGACAAAGCAATACCTATGTGTCACCAGCTTTTCGCAGGCGACACAATAAAATATGATGTAAATGTTGTCATTGACCCGTTCCGAAATTCTGTACACATAAAGAGATTTGTTGACATATAGGTACAGATCGAATGAGGTGTTGTTAATTTTGAATGTGTTTTTTTTTGATTTTTTTAAATTGAAATATATTAACGCTTTTGACTTAATCAAAAATCAATAATAGGAATAACACAATTTAAATTTAAATGAAGTAAACTGAATTGTGAGCCAACAAGATGCTGTTTAGGTTTTTCAAGAGACTGTCTTTAAAAGTACTTCAAGAGACTGTCTTTAAAAGTACAAGTATTCAGTTCGTGTATCTATAAAGTTCAACCAGACCTGAACGGACAGTGGATTAACTGTCAAAGGGATTGCTATGTGCTAACATTTGTACGGTCAATGTTAAGATATATCAAGTGCCAACAGACACTATAGACCTAAACCTAATGTTCATTATCTCTCCACGAGAAGCACTATAAATCATTAAAATTTATTCAGCTATAAAGTTTTGCGATTTCATTGCTGATCAGGAGGGCAAATGTTTTTTGAAAATTAAAATAACCAGAGACTAGTGTGAAAATTCAGTATTTTACTGTAAAGTTTGTGCAAGATTTTAATGAAAAAGGAGTCAAGACTGTATAGCGGTTATATTTCGCGTGGGTTTTAATTTCGCTATATTCGCGCTTTGATTAATATCCGCGAATTCTAAACACCAGCGAAATTATCAAAAGTGTTAACCAGTTTTACTGACCTTATCACAACATGTTGAAAATACTTATAACCCTGTGACGCTGATATGCAAGCTTAAATGAACTCTAATCATATTATCACCGGACAACAAGGCAGTCCATGTAAAAACAACACTTACATATAAGTGACCACAACATATTTTTGTGTACACAGTACATGCACATTTAATTTTCTTTCAAGTGAAGTCACTGGCGGATAACAATGCTTTGGATCAGTGTTTTCAAATGGTTTGACTGTGTTTCGAGGTTTAACCCTTAAATGATGACACCCAAAACACTTTGCACATTTACAACACATAGGATTCGGGTGCACAGCAAAATTTAACCCCCGGGAATATGTGCTGAATACGAAACCGCCAAGTATTGACCCCACAAATTTAAAGCACTATACAGTACATCAATATAGAAACAATACAAGTTCTTGGACTGATAAGTGTCTAGACTCACATTTGAAAACACGGTGTGAAGTAATAAACAAAATAATCTCCCGAGCCGGACTCACATTTAAACAGACAGTGTCGAGATACATCTCTCTAAAGCGAATATCCTTGTTCTCCTCTGCCACCTGCCGACAGCACTTGAGGAACAGACCATCTGACATTCTCCTGTAAATTGAAATTATTTTCTTAATATTTAGACGGGCAATATTGAAACTCTCAGATGTACAAAAGACTTGAAAACTAATTGCAGTCCAACATGTTGCAGCAGGCAATCCTTAGGAAAAGTAATAAACACACATATATTTGTCTCTTAGGTGTAATATTCATATATAGTCAAAAAATTAACCTGCCCAAAAAACAACTTTTGTTATTTTTTTAAAGCGAATATCTGGGGTTTTTTAAAGCAAATACCTCTTTAACTTTTCTTTGCAATTATTTTTGTGTTAACTGAATTTGTATTAATTAAAGACCATCTACAATAAGAGACAGCTTTAAGGATTTCCAAAGATGGTCTCTAAGTATAGGTTACACTTGTGTATTTATCGTAGTGATGTGAACATTTCTCATCTAAAGTAGGAACATAATCACAACATACTCAAGTGTTTTTTAAAGTTTTTTAAAGTTTATTTTGCCGACTAGTTTCGCCTCTAAAGGTAAGGCTTCTTCAAGACAATTTTACAATGTTTTAGACACCTGAAGTACTCTAAGGGAGGGTCTTTTTTCGATTGTGATATAATGGACAATGAGTTTTGGCCAGGGGCAGATAATCAATGGCTAACATGCCTGGTATCCATACTCAAAGCGAAGCACCCCACTGATCACCCACAAACCAGGGGCAGATAATCAATGGCTAACATGCCTGGTATCCATACTCAAAGCAAGCACCCCACTGATCACCTACAAACCAGGGGCAGATAATCAATGGCTAACATGCCTGGTATCCATACTCAAAGCGAAGCACCCCACTGATCACCCACAAACCTACAGCCGACATTGGCTGCATCACCTTTAACTTAAACTTCTCTTCAAGTAACACAACATATCTGACATTCTCAAATATGCAAATCCAACAATGCACATCTGAAAATATTTCCAGAGAATCCTGTGTGAAATCAGTTGACCTTATCTATAAACCACCAATGAGACGTCTAGAAATTTTACAAACAACCTTACCTATGATGATTGGTTCCACTACGAGCTAATCTTTTTGAAATATTATTCATTTCATAAAAGTAATTCCATATGAGTTATTAACAGAAGTCTTACATGATGTTAGCTTTGTGTACAGCTGTGACGGTGTCCCTGTTGTTGTCGCGTGCATATTTAAATGCGTACTCTGCCACACGTCTGGAGGCGTCCTCTGTGATCAGTTTGATACTCTGTACCACACCGTCTACAACCTAGGGGAGAAACCCACAGCAAGTTTGATAAATATTTACAGACAATTAAACTATCTAGTTTACAACTTACCAAATGGAGACAAAGTCACATTTATTTACTTGTATGAATTCTAAAAGATTTTTTTTTTTTATTTTTTTTTATTTTTTTTTTATTTCAGTCATTGACATAAAGAGGAATCAACATAAAAATAAAATCCCAAATGGTCTACTTGCTCTCCAGATCATAAATATACTTTGATCACTAAGGACTTTCGTCTTGTGTGTGAAGATTGGGGCAAAGGAAGGCATTTTTCAATTGGGAATAAGTCTATTTAATGGATCTAGTTAGGATGGAGACAATTATCTATAATAACAGTCTCTAAAAAACTTCCATCTCTCAGGACAATCACTTAAATTTGACTTTGAGCCCAAGAAAAAGTCATTCAAAATTATCTCTTATCAGCAACATGGCGTATATAAACAACGTACCTCGTGTTCAATACCACTGTATTCCCCTTCTGTATTCTCCCGAATGGTAACCAGATTCACATCTGTATACGGAGTCTGGTATCCTTCGATGGATTTACAGGGACGAACATTGGCATACAATTTAAAAGCTCTGAAAAAACCAAAAGAGTTATGTAAATAGAGGATTTCACATAAGTCTATGTATCTATTTCAGCTTTGAATCTAAATCTTTTTTGAAAACATTCTAGATAAAAATGTTGTTTTGATTTGTTGTTGAACTACACAAGCTTTGAACATCTAGACCCCAGTCACAGATGATGTAGCGTGAATCCTCCTGTACTGACTTTGATGCCACACTAATCCTCCTATACTGACTGACTTTGATGCCACATTGATCCTCCTATACTGACTTTAATGCTAAATTAATCTTCCTATACTGACTTTAATGCACATTGATCCTCCCATACTTACCTTTTTAGACTTTGATGCCACATTAACCCTCCTTTACTGATTTTGATGCCACATTTATCTTTCTATACTGATTTTGATGCCACATTAATCCTCCTACACTGATTTTTGATGCCACATTGATCTTCCTTTTCTGATTTTGATGCCATGTTGATCTACCTATACTGACTTTGATGCCACATTAATCTTCCTATACTGACTTTTATATTTTAATGCCACATTTATCCTCCTTTACTGATTTTGATGCCATAATAATCCTCCTACACTGGTTTTGATACCACACTTATCCTCCTATACTGTCTTTCATGCCAAATTGATCTTCCTATACTGCTTTTGATGCCACATTAATCATCCTATACTGACTTTGATGTCACATTGATCTTCCTATACTGACTTTGATGTTACATTGATCTTCCTATACTGACTCTGATGCCACATTAATCTTCCTATACTGACTCGATGCCACATTAATAGTCCTTTACTAATTTTGATGCCATACTAATTCTCTTATACTGACTTTCATGCCACAGTAATTCTCTTATACTGACTTTGATGCCACATTAATCCTTCTATACTGATTTTGATGCCACACTAATTCTCTTATACTGACTTTGATGCCACAGTAATTCTCTTATACTGACTTTGATGTCACATTAACCATACTATACTGATTTTGATGCCATACTCATCCTCCTACACTGATTTTGATGCCACACTAATCATCCTATACTGACTTTGATGCCACATTAATCATCCTATACTGACTTTGATGCCACATTAATCATCCTTTACTGACTTTTATACCACATTGTTTTTCTTATACTGAATTTGATATTACATTAATCCTCCTATACTGACTATGATGCCACATTAATCCTCCTATGCTGATTTTGATGCCAAATTGATCTTCCTATACTGCTTTTGATGCCACATTAATCATCCTATACTGACTTTGATGCCACATTGATCTTCCTATACTGACTATGATGCCACATTAATCTTCCTATACTGACTATGATGCCACATTAATCTTCCTATACTGACTCGATGCCACATTAATAGTCCTTTACTAATTTTGATGCCATACTAATTCTCTTATACTGACTTTCATGCCACAGTAATTCTCTTATACTGACTTTGATGCCACATTAATCCTTCTATACTGATTTTGATGCCACACTAATTCTCTTATACTGACTTTGATGCCACAGTAATTCTCTTATACTGACTTTGATGTCACATTAACCATACTATACTGATTTTGATGCCATACTCATCCTCCTACACTGATTTTGATGCCACACTAATCATCCTATACTGACTTTGATGCCACATTAATCATCCTATACTGACTTTGATGCCACATTAATCATCCTTTACTGACTTTTATACCACATTGTTTTTCTTATACTGAATTTGATATTACATTAATCACCCTATACTGACTATGATGCCACATTAATCCTCCTATGCTGATTTTGATGCCACAATGATCTTCCTATACTGATTTCGATGCCAAACAAATCCTCCTACACTGATTTTTGATGCCACATTTATCCTCCTTTTCTGACTTTTATGCCATACTAATCCTCCTCAACAGATTTTGATGCCACATTTATCATCCTATACTGTTTTTGATGCCACATTAATCATCCTATACTGACTTTGATGCCACATTAATCATCCTATACTGTTTTTGATGCCACATTAATCATCCTATACTGACTTTGATGCCACATTAATCATCCTACACTGATTTTGATGCCACATTAATCCCTTTTTACTGACTTTGATATTACATTAATCCTCCTATACTGATTTTGATGCCACATTAATCCTCCTTTACTGACTTTTAGACTTTGATGCCACATTTACCCTTCTATACTGATTTTGATGCCATACAAATCCTCTAACACTGGTTTTGATGCCACACTAATTCTCTTATACTGACCTTGATGCCACATTGATCTTCCTATACTGACTTTGATGCCACACTAATCCTCCTACACAGATTTTGATGCCACATTCATCATCTTATACTGATATTGATGCCACATTGATCTTCCTATACTGTCTTTCATGCCACATTAATCCTCCTA